ACAGACCAGAAAGTTTGAATAAGCAGATCAATCAGAAAATATATAGACAAACTCAATACTTTGTATATATATACTAAACTGTGTATATATAAAGGCTCTTCACTTCCATCTACTGAAAGAAAGATAGATAGACAGCTAGATACATAGACTGACAGACAGAGAGATCTATCTGAAAGATAGTTTAAAGTATCGCTTGGAAGATACATTCGCGTTGGAGAAAAAAAAGAACCCTAACAACTTCCACAACGCTTTTTCTTTGCTTTTCACAGCATTTTGTGGCTTAAGCAGAACTGAGCAAAAGAAGGCTATCGCCAATTTATCACGAAATGCAAGAAACTTAAGCGATATGAGAAGTAAATCCTGCTTAAAATCTTAACTTGTTGCCATTCACAGTGTTCCAACATTTGCCTGCACACATATCTGTTTTTTAATAAGACCCAATTTCATGCACTGCCGCGCAGCCAAATGTCAGCTGTCATATCAGACAACTATATATACACATATTTCCCAATTAAACATTATCTGGATATTCTGGTCTGGCAATTAACGTGTCAGTTGCTAATGGGCCAGACATGTCTCTGGTTATTGAAGCACACATTTTGTTGCCCATCCAGAAACAATTTATAGACAGAAATTACGTATACGCCGCGGGGGCCATGGAATATTGCTCGCTGCTGAAAATAGCACAAATTAAGGACATCAATACTTATTTGCGAGTACTTTTAGCTATGGACAACATTTTTACCACAAAAAAAAAAAATAAAATAAAAGAAATAGAAATAGAAATAAAATTCCCGAGTGTTTGTCATTTGTCTGTCGCAATGGCAAAATCGACGGCTGCTCGAGGAAGAGAACCATGAGAACAGCTCTCAATGCAACCACTTGCCTGTGGTTGTGTGTGTGTGTGTTCGTATGTGTGTGTGTGCTAAATGTATTTGCTCTGATTCTAAATGGCAAAGCGACACACAACTCACTTGCTCGACCGTACAAAGTTGTTGGTTACAATTTGGTTTTTAGCTGCCACGCCCCGCAGCGTGCAACGCCCGCATGACCTGATTCTGCACTTTTACATTTTCGGTGGGAGCAGCTTGTCGTTGGCCGGGGGCGGGGCTGGGGGCGTGGGCATGTTGGTGCTGAGGGACCAAGCTGAAGGTCGTTGCTTGTAATGAGAAACCAGCTGCAAAAGCAGAAGAAGAAAAAATGTAGCAAAAAGCAAACCAGCAGCTGGCAGGGCCTAAAAGAGTCCTATGCCAGCACTTTGTACCACTTTGCACAACAACACAAACACACACACACACATACATAACCACACCCAGTTGTACACACACACACACACACACACACACCCTCTTGGCTGCCGCTGGCCAAAAGGAGATGCGGGGACCGCATTCTTGTCGAGCACCACATAATGGAGAGCATTGCGAATGCAAATACAACAACTACTGTGTGCGTGTGTGTGTGTGTGTGTTTGTATGCATTTGTCTGTGTCTGTGTGTGTGTGTGTGGGTGTGTTTGTATGCCTGTTTGCCTGTGCTTGCATGTCGAGTGCTCTGACTATTTACAATGGAATTGCAGTTGCTTTTTGTTGGGGCAGCAACAGCTACGCCCCCCCCCCTCACCGCAGCGTCCCTCACCACGCCTACCATAACCCTGCCCATGCCCACTCCCATCGGTTTAATCTTTATCATCGATGACACAATGATTGCCAGCAGTCACAATTTTTTTTGTCATACTCTCTCTCGCTCTGTGTTTTTATATGCACACTTTTCAAAATGGCTGCCAAGCCAGCTCAAGCGCCCTCCGCCCGCCCTCGCCACACGCCTCGTCCAGCCCTTGGGCATCTTCTTCTGCTTGTTGGCATTTTTGCAACTTTATTTGCGAAGCACCCGCTGTTCATGGCTCGCTGGACCCGTAATTCAAGCGGAACGCGTCGCCAACAACCATAAAAGCCAAGTGCCGGGCGCAAAAACAAAACAAAAATCGACGAAGAAAAGCAAAACCGTCGAGGAAAAAGGAAAAGTAAAAATGGTCCCAAATGGCGTCCGAACAGGGACAAAATAACAAGAGCTCAAATGGCGATCCTGCAGTTCATGCAACACCTCGCGTACAAAGCCAAAAGGGTATATGCGGATATATGTAATTGAAAAAGTCAGATATTCCCAATTGTTATTTATTATTCCCAATGTAGAACTGATTTAGATAAGGTACACAGCCCTACGGATACAGTTCAAGCTGTTAAGTCCACACTCCAAAGTCAAAAGTTCTTCGTCTTCGTCCTAAATCCATGGTCCACAGTGTGTCTGCAGTCTGCTATGCTTCTTCTAGCTACTACAGAGTATCTGTTAGTCTACTATTGAACATTTTTGATTTCCTCTTTCATTTTTGTATTTTGTACTCTTGTCGCCCCGCCATGTCATAAAAACATGTCCAACACAGTCCGCACAGAGCACCCAAGCGCTTGCTCAACCTCCTCTGCACACACACACACACACACACGCCATCAAACCAAACCCTCCCCCCCTCCACCACTTAACAGCCAACGCCCCCCACCAATACCAGCAATTGGTAACTGCGTCGCGTCTGGGCTTTCATTTATTTTGCCGTCTTTTTTCGACTCTTCTGCTTCGCTTTTGGCCGACATAATTTGCTAACTGAAATGGAAAACATTTTCGACAGGCGCTCCCGGGCGACAGCGTTGGCCAGGACGCGGCAGACACGCGCACCAATACACATGCATAGCTGGCGGAAAATGGATCTCACACACACACACACACACGGACAGGGATACAAATACAAAAACAAGCGAACAGGCCGGGCACAGACAGGAAAAAGGATGTCGTTGCCGACGCTGTGCGTGTGTGTGAGTGTGTCTGTATTTCTCTGTGTGTGTGTGTGTCCTTTAGTCCTGTTGCTGGGTCAGCCCATTGTCCATTGTGCCGTTTCATTCCTTATCGATGTTGCTGTCAGCCCTACCCAGTCGCAGTCGCAGTCACAGTTATGAACCTTCGGCCTAGTCAACAACTCATCCTTTTGTCCCTTTGCTCGCCTTTTTGTTTGTGTCCTTTTGCTTTGCTTTTGTGCCATTAAAAGCAAATGTGTTTTGTTTTGTTGTTCGTCCTTCACGACATGTCATAAAAGCGTGCGATACCAACAACAGCAACAACAACTTTAACAAAACAGAAAGTAAAACAAATGATCCCCGCCTGACCTAACGAAACTTTAATACGCTTTATTATAATACTCGAAGAACTTTACAAAATTCATAACTTTTGTTTGAAAAAGTCTAGAAACTTTTTGATTTAATTTTACAATTAATTTCTCATGCGACTCTACTGCAATGCTGCCTGTATTAAGTTTACGAAGGCAAACCCCAAGGAGAATTGTGCACATGCATAATAAATGCAAGGCAAGAGAGAAAGAGAGATTCAAAAGAATAATTGCGACAACTCAACTCCTGGGAAGTAAGAGCTTGCCAGCAAAACGATTACGAATGACGCGTAAAGAGGAACTTATTTGAAGAAGGGCTAGACCTAGAGCAAGAGAGTTAATTGTGGCAGAAAAACGTTTACGAATGCAATTCGAAAAAAAATTGAGCGAAAGTCAGTAAAGAGCCTGCCAGTAAAATGTTTTCAAGACAAAGACAAACAAGAGAGAGAGAGACAGAGAGAGCGAGATTTAGCACGTTCGCGAGCCGAAACGTTAACGAATGCTATGCAAAGAGGAATACACAAAGAAATGGTAAACCATCTGTAACTACGCTCATGCTGCAGCACACATACCCGAAGCATATACACTATGTTATTATAATGGGAAACAGCAATGGCTGCGTGTGTAAATGCTTGGGTTCGGGCTCGGTCGCCGAGTCTGGGTCTTGGTCTGGGTCTGGGTCGGCTTTGGGGTCGTAACTGTCTGGACGCCGCATGGAACCCCTGTGGCGTCTATTGTTTTGCCTTCTGATGTGCTGACTAGCGTACTTTAAATGAAGGCGCTGTCCGGCTGTCTGCGCTACATAACATGTAAACTGTTACAGCAAAGGACAGCAGGACACAAGTATAAAAAGAAGAAACAAACCATTTCCCTTTGTATAGGCTGTATATTTTTGGTCGAATAACAAATGTCCAGACAGGGAGCCAAAACCCGATTACCAAATTAAAATGCCATTGCGTAAGGCGCACATCCTTACCAAATTCGAGCGTCTGGACGCCAATTGCGACCCGAAAACAAAAATAATATGCGCCAAATGAAGCGTTGGCAAATATTTCGCGTGAAATTAACGCCAAGGCGCTAAGTATTCCGCAACCCGAATGGAACATAAGCAAAAAATCAAAACAGGCGCCTGTTCCAAGTAATCAAAACCTATTCGAGTCGGGTTGCTAATGAGGGCGCAAGGAAAAATACAGCTCACGTGAATTTGTTAACACAAAGAAAGCAATCCACGATAATAAATGAGAGATAATTTTAGATGATTTAACTATTTACGTTATAGCTAACTATGGAGCTGTTCTCTATTCCGTTGACTATTAATAGCTAGTTTGTCTAGAGTATTCATATGTAAATATTTCGATTAGATTTCATAATTACAAAAGTCAATTCCTTGTCTACAATAAGTTTAAGTCTTACTACACAGCTACTAACCTTAAATATATATTTTTTTCTTTATTTATTAATGCCATCGAAAACGTTTATATAAATGTATATTTGCGTGTACGCAGACCAAGCCCAATAACAGTATCTTTAAATATGGCCCTTCTATGAGATTCTCATGAATTCAAGTAAGGCTTTTAGTTGTGAGGCTTGAGTTGTGTTGGCATTCAGATAAAATTTATATATATATATATGTGTTTTGACTACCAAACGCAGAACAAATTTAAATATCGCCCTTCTACGAGATTCTCATGAATTCAAAGTTAAGCACTCTCTCGCTCCCTCTCTCTCTCTATTTCTCTATCCCCTTTCCTGCTCGTATTCTACTACAATCTCCGCTTCTTTTGTTCTTCCAGGATTGTTTATTTATGAAAGTCTCCCTTCTACTTGTAGATGTCAATAAAATAACTTTGCGTATCAATGAGTATTTTCGGGTAAGCATATGAATTGGTATAAATATTTATATACAATTATAAATAAGAATATGTATGCGAAGACAATTCAGATCTGGCCACGGATTGTCTCACAGAAGTCTCACATGACACTGGCTCCAAATAAAAAGCCATAATTCTAATAAATTTGCAGCTATTCATAGCCGCGAGGCCTGTTGGATGTGCCGCTGGGCGAAACCGCGATAGGTGCAACTGCAACTGCCAACTGTCTGAGCAGAAGTGGCAGCAAGGTCTGCTGTGCAGCGACCCAAAGGAAGTCGAGGTCTCAACGTCTTGTGTCTTGTGGCACAAGGTTTTGCAGTGGCCGCCGCGTCATCGTCTGCAGTTGCAGTTGCCGCTGCTGCTGCTGCTGCTATGGAGTGGGATGGGGTGGGGCAGGGCTGGGGTTGCGGCTGGGGGGCAGACGCTGCCAGGTGATGAATGGTAATGAAAATGTTGCTGTGGCAGTTGTTACAATGCCGCTGTGTCTGCCGCGACGTCAGCTAAGCCAACTGCCTCAATAAAAACTAATGCAGTGGCAGTGGCAGTTGCAGTTGTTGTTGCAGCTGTTGTTGTTGTTGTTGTCGGCCCGTACGATAATCATCTGCTGCTGCGGTTGTGGCCATGGCTGTTGCTGTTGCTGTTGCTATTGCTGTTGGCTTGGCCCACTTGTTGCCAACGTCAAGTAGCAGAAAAACATAAAATTTTATGCATTCGTATTTCTTTCGAAGCGCAGCAAACACTATGCGCCGCACCCCGCACCCCGCAACCAAACCCAACTCCTCATACGTTCCCGCAGCCGAGTGCCTGCCTCTTGGCCAAACAATTGTCGGTTTTCTCTAACGTTTTTCGATACCCCTTGAAAAAATATCTAAGAAAAGTGTTTATAACGGGCAGAAGAAATCTGTATACATTCCTGATCTAAAGAGACGTTCAATTTAAATATTATCATATTTTCGATAGTAGAATCGATAAATAAATCGATTGTGCAGCAAAGCAGAGACTTTTTCTCTATCTCTGAGAGATTATATATCTGAGAGATTCAAAGAAAAACTCAATAAGCCAGACAAACTTGCAATTGTTAATGTTTTTTCGATAATTGTCCCATATGTATAAACATTTATACAATCGATAAATTAATCGATTTTGGAGAATATTAGAGACTTTTTATGTATATCTGAAAGATTAAACGATATCAGGATCTTTCCTTTTTATACTATAAAGAGTACGAATTCTTATCAGTTGCAGGGTATTTGCTAGTCAGTCATTTTCAGCCTGAGGCCACTTTTTTCTTTGTAGCTTTTTGCTGCTGCCTCGTTTTGATTAATCTGACATTGTAATGCAAAAATCCATTTGGCAGCTCAACAGCAGCGGCAACAAAACAAGTTATTACCAAGTTGTGCGGGGCAGCTGCTTGTTTTTTTTTTTTTTTTGCTATGTTTTTCTTTTTTTTTTAGTTTTTGGCGTTTTACAAGCACGCTCGTGTTCAACCCAGTTTAAAGAGTGCCAAACTTGACCTAGCCGAGATGGAATTTAGACATTGCAGCCAAAATCCCAGCTGCGCCCGGCCAGGCAAAGAGAGTTATAACCGTGCCGAGAGACGCCTCCACAAACAGTTTCTACTTAGGGCGCTGCCGTTGACGCCCCCGCGTTCCAATGGCACGAGCTGTCGCTGCCAGCAGACGAGGCAATAAAATGGCGGAAATGATTTCAACAAATTGATAGGCATCACACCAACTCGAGCCAACTCGGGCCAACTTGGCCAGCTGGTCAAGTGGGCTTCTAAGTAATTGCTGGGCGCGTCTGGAGAACGTGCTCGAAGAACGCAGCACAGGAATCTGCAGCGAAACGCTTTCAAAGTGCGTGACCTGATCAAGGAAAAAGGCGTCAATAAGCCATAAAAAAACAGAGCTGACAATTATTGATGATTATTAGAAACGGCTGTGAGGACATTTAAAACAGGCAACCGAATATCTGGGTGAATGTCTTTATTGTCGCGAGAAATTCCCAAACAAAAACAACTGGTTCTCAAATTAAAAGGAAACCAACTAAACTAACTAACAAATGCATTACGTAAATCCCAAGAAACCTCAAAAAAACTATTTTAGGCACAAAAAACGTCAATTAGAGCAAACACAACTGGAAGGAAGGGCTGCAAATTTGAATGTTCAAGAACTAGTTCTTCATGTCTAAGAAGAATTCATATAGGGTAGTTGAACTAGTTCCAAATACACCCACAAAAGCGAGCATATAACATTTTGCTATGATAACTAAAATAAAAAGTGGGAACTTAAAACGTATGAATGTGGAATGTTAAAGAACTAGTTCTCAAGAATATGTAAAAAAACAGTATGAATATTGAACGCTAAAGAACTTGTTCCAGAGAATATGTCAAAAAAAAAAACAAGCTGATTTACTCTGCCAATGATTTTTTGAACATCGGATTTAATTGGATTTTAGGAAATAACTAAATTATGTCCAAATTTCATTTAAATTTCACAAACGAACTAGTTCCATGAAATGCTACTTAAAAAAAAAGGATTGCAATTGGATTTTGATTGGCCCATTTGTAAGGGAAACTTCAAATTTGATTTGGGGCAAGTGATAGAAATCCTTCCACCCTCTCCGGCGCCCTCAGCAACAAACTACCTAGTTGCTGTAAGACAGAAATTAACCAACCCCACCGAAAAAAAGCACTCTTATCTAAATTATGTACTTAAACTCGTGAAATTTGTGTGCTTTAAGCGAAGCTTTAATGTGTAAGATGTAAAAGAAGAAGCAGGAAAATACATAAGAAGGCGGCAAACGGGGCGTGCTTGTGGAACGTAAAGCATGTCTGCCAACGCCCACACTGCCACGCCCAAAAGCAACGGCTACTGCGACAACAACAACAACAACAACGAAAACGACAACAACAACGACAACGACTACGACATAAACTTGGAATGTTGAATGTGCCTCAAACTTTTGCTGACATGACTGTCACTAATGCCAAACACGCGCCAAAGTTTCAGACACAGAAGCACACACACATACACACACGTGCACACACACACACACACACACGCACAACAGCGACCGACATTTGGCACAGAAAAGCACACAACAAAGTTTTAGATGAACACACATACACACAGAAAAATACATACAAGCATGCACATAAAACTGTGTCGCAACGCAGACAAAAGAGTAAAAGGCAGCAAAGAGCGAGAGTAAGAGAGAGAGAGAGAGCACGCGCGGCAAGCTTGGGCGAGGCGCCGGGCGCGTCTAGTACAGCAGGCAAAGGCAGACGGCGTCAGACACACACACATACGCACGCACACCGAGCAGCAGGCGCCGTCTATGTACAAGCGCAAAAGCGTGCGACCGACAGACCGACCGACCGACCGACCGACATACGAAGCGTTGCCGAGCGCTCGGCTTACGAGTGGGGTCCGTCCGAAAAAAAAAAATAAAAGAAGGAAGAAAAAAAATCAACAAGCAATTTCCCTTTGGCTGCGTCTCGTCAGACGCTGCCCAGCCACCCAATTAAGCCATGAGTTGACCCAGCCAGCCAGCCAACCAGCCAAGCAACCCACCAGCCACCCAACACCCGCTGCCGACCCCTGCCGCCTGCCTGTCTGTGTAGCGAAGCAAACTCCAAAGCAAGCGACACAGTTGCCCACCACAACCTACAGCAACAAAATACGTCTGAGGGCGCGACGCTTTCGGCAATTGCTATCTATCTCTTTTGCGCCAACAGTGGGTAGCTAAAGCTCGTCTCCCAAACACAACGCAGTCGGTCGCCTGGGTAGACAAAATAAAAGGAAAAACCGTTGAAAGTTCTGCATGGCTTGCCTCTCCTTCGCTCTGCGTCTGTGTGTGTTAGTGTCGAATATGTGTCTGTGTCTGTGTGTGTGTGTGTTTTGTGTAAAAGTTTTTGCCTGCTTTTGTGCTGCTGCTGCTGCTGCTGCTGCTAAGTTTTTGCTGCTTCCAATGCCCGTTGTAGTTGTTGTTGTTGTTGGTATTTTTGTTCTTACGACATTTTCGTTGTCATATTTTGTTTATCAGCATCCGCGCCGTCTCTGTATGTGTGTGTATGTGTGTATTTTAGTCTCAAGGGTGTTTTACTTTTGTAGACGCTGCTTCAGCTGTTTTTCTACTTCTCCCTTTTTTTTTGTATGCCTTTTGCCCACATTTCTTTCGTTTCTGTGTAATTTCTTTGCTCCAGTGCCGCCAGCCCTGAAACTTGGCTACAGTTTCTTCTTCTACCTCTTTCTATGCTTCCTGCGCGTCTTGATATTAAATTTATTGATAGATAGACAAGCGCGCGGGGGGAGGGGGGGGGTGCAGCAGAAAGGGGCTGCGCATATTTGACTGCTGACCCGCCGCCGGCGGCCTTTTGCTTGCTTCTGCTTGCCTCCCCCACCCTCCACCGTCTCAAATTGCGCTCAGCTGAAATGGTGTCAATTTTTTTTATCTGCTTTTTATTTTATGTATTTTTTTTTTTTTGCTAGCTTTTCATTTTCAATGCAATAAATTGAAAGACTCGAGCGCTCAACTTTTATAAGCCCACGTGGGTTTTAAACTTGTTGTTGTTGTTGCTGTTGTTGTTGTTGTTGCCATAGTTGTAATTGTAGCAACCAGAATTGTTGTTGTTGTTGTTGTGTGTGTGCTTTTAAGTCTCCAACAGACACGACACGTGTTGCTGTCAATTCAGTTTTTTTTTTCGGCTGCTTAATGATTTACTGTTACCCACACACACACACACACACACACGCGAGCGCAATTAAAGCGTGTAAACAGGTGCCAAAACAGAAAGCAGCAAACCAAAACTAGTTTGAACAAGAAGAGGGGAAGAGAGAGGAAGACAGAGAGGGAGAAAAGTCGAATTGTCGATTGTAAGCTGAAGCACCGAAAATTATCAATTACGCATAAGTTGCTCTAATTGTTTGTAATATGTCAGAAAAAGAGATTGATTGACGTTCCGGCTTGTTATGCTACTTTTTCAATTTCGTTATTGTTGTTGTTTTTATTGCTGTGTAATGCACAGTTTTTTTTTTTTTTAGTGTAAGACTGAGTTTGAGTTGAGATTGAGTTATTTAGATTGCGTAAGCGCCTGCTAAAAATTAATCCTGTTAAAGCTGAACTAACCTCAAATTTTAATTTGTTTTAATTGTGTTTTTTTTCCTCTCAAGACACTCTTAAGAAATGACCCAAAACAGTGTTAAACAAACTTTTGTTATCAGAAGAGTCAAAGTTTAAAAAAAAAAAAAAAAGAGACTTTTCTCTTTATAAAAGAATCAGTTAAGTTTGTGGTTATATTCTACAGCTAGCTAGGCTAACCCAATGAGAATTCTGTTGGTATTTCAGGGACTTCAGTGAATAGCAGAGTCCCAAGTTAATCAGGGCTAACTTAGACAAAGAATTTAAGGGGCAAGGTCTAGAGAAAAAGAAGCAACAAAATACTAGAGGAAAACAATTAAATATTGTAAGAAATAATTATTATTTTCCAGCTAGCATTCTGAGCAATTAAAATATTATTCAATAACCCATTACAGGGCAGCTTATAGTCGATCATAAGAGTTTAACTCACGCTGATATAAAACAGTTATCGTTGTTGTTGTTAACGGTAATAATGAAACGGCAATTGATATACAGATCGACAGTTGAGCAGCAGCCAATCGGAACTCACCTGCAATAAAAGAGAGCGCAAAAGAGAGAGCGAGAAAGAGAGATGAGTGTGAGAGAAAAATCAAAAAATTTAACGTAACAATATTAAAGCGCAGATACAAGAGTTTTCAGTGCGTATTGCGCACATTAAAATAGCTTTTTTTTCGACTTATTATTATTTGTTTTTCTCTTTTTTTTTCAGTTTGCAATTTTAATTGCTGGCATTGCCTGCAATTAATTTGTCAATAAAATTCATTTGGCTTTTAGTGAAAGAGCAGCCAAAACACAGGCGCACATAAAAATTGCATTAGAGTGAACCAAATTGCTGGCCACGGTCAGGAGAGGGAGGGAGGTAGGTAGGGAGGGGGCAAATTGTGGAAAGGGACTTGCATTGCTTTGCACTTTGCTTGACTTCTGTGCCAAGATTTATGTTGTGCCGCATGCCAGCTACGCCAGCCAAAATACCGCTCCGCCCACCGCCCACCGCCTGGCAAGCGTCCTCTGCAACCACCCACCCGCCCACCCCCTAACCCCCTTTGGGGAATGCAGCCCCCTTAACAGCGAACAGATTGTTTGACTCGTGGCCGGGCAAATTTATTTTTCATTTTCATTTTGGTTGCAATTTCTTTTTGACGTTGCGCGTTGATTTTTGGCTTTTGCTCCTCTTCTTCTGTTGCAGCCCAAGACTTGCTCTCTCCCTCTCTTTCACATGCATAGCATGGCAAATATAAATATAGTAGATTAGCATAAATCTGCTCGGCGAAGCATGAGAACAATTGTGAAGCGCGTGCAGCGCCATCTAGCGGTCAGATTGGTAACGTTTGTTAAGCAATTTATTATTAGCTGTAACTTCCGTATTTATTATTGGATTCCTTTGACATCTATTTGACATTATGTATTTCACTTTCGAAATCTTTCGAATATATATATATACATAAAATGCTTATAAGCCCAATTTTTTGCCCAAGTGTTTTATATACCATAAGTTTATCTATTGACATTTATTTTTTTGTTGTTTTCTAGGCAAGCTCTCTGTTGTCTGCCCCCCTCTTGCAAACGCGTCAGATTTGTGCAGCTGCCACGCCCAGGAAATAGGTAAGCGCTTCTCATATTTGTCACATTTTAAAATATTCATACATTTCACATTCAATATATATATGAAAAAGAAAATGACCAAAAAGAAAAAAGAGAAATTCAATACAATTCTCAGAAAAAAATGTCACAAAGCCACACCCACTCATGCGCCCTCTTTAGCTTGGACTATTATTAAAATATATATATATGTATATAGCCGGGCAGGTGTAGTGTAGGGTATTGCGCAGTTGTTAGCTGCCAACGGCAAGAATCTCGCTCGTTTTTTAATGCACGTATGAGTTTTAAACAAATATGTGAACACAATAAAAAACAAAGCAAATATTTTGACAGTTGCGTCTGGCGGCTATGTTCAGCCATATAAACCCGATCAAAGGCTTTAATAATGCTTAAAAAAAAAAAAAAAACGACAAATTTCAATAAGAAAACAAAAATTGTTTTCGTATTGATGAGAAGAAAATTTTTTAAAAGAAATTCAAGCAAAAGTTTTCAATTTAAACGTGAACGCAAATTTTTTTAAATATTAATCGAAATGCAACAAAAATAAATAAATAAATATTTTTATTTTAATTAAAAAAAAAAAAAAACTTAAATGATAAAAAATAAATAAATATAAAATTGTTTATAAATTAAATAAAAGATGAAAAAAAAAAACTTTTTCAATGAAAAGTAAATTAAACATAAAGGAAACACTTTCAAATAGGCCATTAAAAGTCCAAGCTGCTTTCTACGAGCTAGCCATGCCCTAACCCTGAGATTCGGGTAGTTTGGCTAGGCGAATAGTTTGGAGCGAATCGCATAAATTACGCGAACAACACTTGCAATAATATGCAAATGTCGTTGCCTGCTTTTGATGGGCAAAACACAATAAATTAACGCAATAAATTCAATGGAATAAAAAATAGCACACACACAACAAAAAATAAAAATGCGATGCGTTGCGTTGGGGCAGCATTAGCTGGGCAGGGGGCGGTTCAAGAGGGGAACAGCTAGGGGTAGAAATTGGCGTCAGTTTTGTTTGTGTCGCCAGACGATGGTCGAGACAACAACAACATGCTTGTTGTTGCTGCTGTTGTTGCTGCTGCTGTTGTTGTTGTTGATTGTCCTTTGCGTGCGACAGCGACAGCGTCAAAATGGCGTCGCCAATATGTCGCCCTCGGCATGGGAATATGGCGACAGCGTCTATGCCAAACTATGGACAAAACTATTTGCCGCACGTTGTTGCCGCACGATGTTGTTGCTGCTGTTGTTGTTGCTGCTGCTCGTCGACTGGGCGCGTTAATTGCCCCCTTTGAGTCGAACTGACAGCAACGATAAACGAGCCAACAGTTGGGGCATGGGGCATGCCGCTTGAAGCATGTGGCATGGGGCATGCGACATGCGTTTTTCTGCGCCTCTGGCTGGCTCCCCCAAAGCCTTTTGTATGCCGTGCGTACGCTAATGCGTCTCTAATGTTGCTTCAATTTGCCTCTGTGTGTGTGTGTGCAACATGATGTTGCCGTTGTTTGTGTCGTTCTTGTTGTTGTTGTTGTTGTTGTTGTTGTTGTTCTTGTTGTTGCCTCTCTTTTTTGCCATTTTTAATTTAGCAAATGTTGTAAATTTACGCTAATTTATTGCGTGTCGCCTGTGCCGCCAGTCGTGGCATCCACACACACACACACACACACACACATGCTGGCTGTGTGCATTAGTCACTTGCTTGGTGGCCAGCTAATTGCCACGCCGAACAACGCACAAAAAAAAAAGAAAATGTTAAATAAGGATAGTTATTTTCGGCTTAACGCATATGAAATACTCTTGCAGACAAACTAGCTAGACATAGATACTCTTTAGAACATTTATCTTTAAAAGAAGCTGAGCTCCATTAGGAATAGACAGTAGTAGAAGTCCTTGGGAGGACAGAGAGTTTATATAGCCCAAACGTGGGCAACTTCTAGACGTTGCACTGTTCGTGACATAGTCATAATACCCGCAGCTAGGGCATAAACAAAGCCACACAAGCACGGCAGACAGGCGGGCAGCCAGGCAGCTTTTGGGCGGGCAGCCAGGACATCTTAATTTTCCATTAAAAGCTGAGAAAAAGAAATGAATATCGCTTTTGATTTACAATCGAGGCAAAAGCAGACGCAGAAGTGTGAACATAATTTAACAATGTTCAGCCAGATAAATTATCGTGTGCTAAGCTCACGAACTCGAATGAAAACTTTGGCTCCGATTACACTAGACCACAGGAACGAGGCAAGTGCAAACAAAGTGCTTAAAGCAGCGGAACAGGCAGCGTGGAGAGGGCAGAGCGAGGGGCGGGCTCGCGTTTTGAGGCATAATAAATCAGAAGCTGCAACAGCAACAATCCTGCGGCAGGTGCAAGCTGTTTGTCTTGCTCGCACTCAGCCCCTCCCCAACCCCCCTACTTACCTGGCATGCTAATTATGACCGTTATGCAGTGACAAAACAGCCAACAACTAGAAGAAGAAGCAGAAGAAGAAAACTCTTGCCACAGGCCACAACAGCGTGAGTTTAAGTGGCAAATGCAGATGCAGATAGATAGATGCACCGCCGGCAACAGGGTTGCCAGGTGCACACACACACACACACACACACACGCACACATTGAGGCCACATCAAAGCAACTCTGGCCAGAAAATAGCTTCTAATTACGAACGCTTGCACAGTTTGGCGTGGTTGTCGCCCGTGGACCAAGTTGGTCGCTTGTTTTGCATAATTTATTGTAATTAGCTCGCGTTGCCCGCGAGTTGCGAGTGGCCACAGAAGCAGATATTGGCAACAACCCGCCGGCATCCGTCGGTTCGATGCATGGGCAGACGGAAAGCCAAGGCTCGACAAATATATATTGTTTTCGTCGATAAGTGGCAAGTGATCGATAGGAAATGTTTTTATATATATATCTGTGCATGTTTGCATTTTGACGACAATTGAATCGCTTATCGTTGCAGATGTATCGATAAATGCAAGATTAAGACGAATCGACAAGTAAAACGTTATCGATAAACAATGAATAAGTCGTATCGATAATGTGGATACTTGTAGCGAACGCTAAAGATCATCGATAAATCATAATTAGGTGGTTGATATCACAGCGAAAATTTTAATCGATAAATGATTCGTTATCGTTGCTAAAATATCAATCAATCACAGCGATAGCTATTGCTTACGGAATATATTGCTTTGGTCGAGAAGATAGAAGAGTTATCGATCAAAAATAAATTGTACTAATGATATCGCAGCGAGAGCTAATAATCGATAATTGGCAAATGAGTATCGATAAGTGACACGTATCGATAAATTTTAAATTGCCAGATGAATTGATTGTCATATGCTAATGACTCTTTTAAATGTATCGATAGCCGTTTATTTATAACATATATGCATATACATTTTTCCGATAAATTATCGAGTGAATTATTTTACAAATCCGGAATTGTACAATCGAGAGTACTTCTTATGGGGAAACTAGCCAAAGAAAGTGCCAGAAAGCTGTGCAAAAGCAAAACATATAAAAACTAAAAATATTTTTGATAATAATCAAGAATTTTCAACGCGTTTTCCGCTCGCACTTAATGTCCATTGTGCTGCTTGACGCCGCGTTGTCGACAATTATAAATTTGCATTTTCTTGGCTTTTCCTGTGCGAGTTTTCCCGCTCGCCCCGGCCTGCCCAGTTTTGTTTTATTTATGATTTGATTTTCTTTTCTCTTCTCTTTGCATTTTTTCTGGTTGCCCCTTTTAAGCATGATTGTAATTTATGATTGCGTCCCCTTTTAATGTCTTCCTTGCCGCAAAATGAGGCGGCGTGATTAATTTAAATTAATGCGTCGCGTCGCGTCGTGTCGCCTGCCCTCGGCGCAGTGTCGACTGCCAAAACAAATAAACCAGTGGAAAACCCTTTCAATCTCACACCAAAAGTAGAAGAAAAAAAAGAAAAGTCGCAAAATATTTTTCATCAAGTGGCAAAACTGTGAAAAACCCAGCAACAACAACGCCACGAAGCGAAAAACTAACAAACAAAGCGTCAAATGGAAAATGCACACAACAACAACAACAACAACAACAACAACAAAATAGTGTGAGAAAAACAAACAAAAAACAAAAATTTTTGCAAATGTAGCGCAGCAAATTTTTTCAATTAATGCGCGCCGCGAATGCAATTGAAAAGCGCGCAAGGAAAAATTCTTAACGCCACTCAAAACAAACATCAAATGTGGCAAATGCCAGAGAACCCACAGCTAGAGATGAGCGCGTGCTCGATAGGACAAAATAATCGATACGATTGAAATTGCAGTACAGGACAATTCAGAATCGTTTTTGCCTACGTAACAACAATTATTTGATTGTCATTTAATTCAGACTGAAGAAGTTGTTTTGAATTCACAAAACGTTGTTATCGACTATCGATAAATCGCTAGCTATTCCATAAAAGCAGACTCGGCCCTCCCTAAAACAGATATAGATAGGTAAATATAACCTTAATATTTGCCTTCTAACGCCATCGTAAAGTTCTTTGTGATATCGATATTAGCAATTATCGATATATTTCCCTCAAGGGTCTTTCATTTAACAGCACATTCATATCATAAGTATTATGTTTCTGTCACAGAAGAGACCAACACATGACTTATTTTCAGCTTTCACCAGCTTCCAAAAGTTGTCTAAAAATCTCGATAACAATTCCTATCGTTAAATTGAAATTTGATTTAATTTGTCAAGCTTTCGAGCTGCATTTGTGCACATCTTCGAGCTGTTTTATTCGTGTCACGACACGCTGCCATCTTTAACCGCTCACAAGTCCGCCCCTTCCTCTCCCCCTTCCCCTCACCCGACCCTTCTCTAACCCGCTGATGCTTTTGTGTGTTCAGCATCTGCAGTGAAATATTAATTAGCGCCCAAGTCAAATAAAGACGCCCTAAAAAAAAAAACGAGGCAAATGCTGGGCGTTGCATAAAAAATATGCAAGCGAAGGGATTGTAGGGGGGAGGGGGACTTAGC